ACACACAGATAGAGAGAGAGACACACACACAGATAGAGAGAGAGACACACACACACACACAGATAGAGAGAGAGACACACACACACACACACAGATAGAGAGACACACACACACACACAGATAGAGAGAGAGAGACACACACACACACACAGAGAGAGAGAGACACACACACACACAGAGAGAGAGAGACACACACAGACACACACACACACAGATAGAGAGAGAGAGACACACACAGACACACACACACAGATAGAGAGACACACACACACACACACACACACACACAGATAGAGAGAGACACACACACACACAGATAGAGAGAGAGAGACACACACACACACAGATAGAGAGAGACACACACACACACAGATAGACAGAGAGACACACACACACACACACACAGAGAGACACACACACACACACAGAGAGACACACACACAGATAGAGAGAGAGACACACACACACAGAGATAGAGAGAGAGAGACACACACAGACACACACACACAGATAGAGAGAGACACACACACACACAGATAGAGAGAGAGACACACACACACACACACACAGATAGAGAGAGACACACACACACAGAGATAGACAGAGAGACACACACACACACACACAGAGAGACACACACACATTTCAGAGTCAGAGTCACTGAGCTGAAGCTGAATGGCATCAGGAGGCTGAGATCTGAAAGGAAGTGGTTTGTTGAGAGAGCCGGACCCCTCTGGGCTGTGGCTTCCCCCGCCTCACCCCTCCCCGGCCCGCGGGCTCTGGCTTCAGAACCGGGAAAAGGCCAAAGGTTCAGAAAACAGCAGAAAGCCAACACAGAGCAGCGGGGCGCATGAAGCTCCTTCCCGAACGCGAGAAGGTCCAGCGTGACAGACACCTACACAGGCCTGCAAACTGAAAGGTCTCCCATCACTGACTCCCATCATATCCACTCACAGGCTAAAGAAAATCCATCATGAAACTCAGCAGAATTCCAGGTATTTTCCCCTTTCACTTAACTTCTTAAACTGCTGTTACATAAACCCTACCGAATAAAATTTGGCTGGATTGCAAGTATCCCACCCAAAATCGGACTCCGGTGCCAAGCAGTCCGTCTCAGCAACAATCCCACAGGTTCTGTGACTGTACCATCACTGAGACACCCTACAACAATCACATCCACTCCCACAGTCAGAGAACACACAATAAAACCTGCTGCAGTCAAACCCAAAGGACCTGAATCACCACCGAGAATACGGCCACCAAAATAATCCCAAATTCATCTCATAATTACTAAATTGCACTATAAATCCTGGCCAGACAGGCTTTCAGGTGTGCTGCTTAGGATAATCTACCTTCAGGGATCTCGCTAAAACGTTTATAGGAGCCACATTTCAGCAGGACATGTACCTCACTAATGGACCAACTTCATTCTATTATTTACTACATGATTTTACATGAAACAAAATACCACTGCAGGAAATACCAGCGAAACGTGGAAGGTGCATGTTAAACGGCGTCGCAGGGAGCCTGGGCGCAATCGAAAGACCCCCTCTTAGTTTGTCCCGTGAAGTTAAAACGCAGCAGCTCTCTTTCATGTATTCCAAGAGACCCATCTGATAACCTTGAGCCAAAGTGACTAACAGCTTACAGCTTCTCCCATCCGTACAGCTGGACATATTTAACACAGCAATTCAGGTTCAGTCCAACAGCTGATTCCCTCTCGGGACTTGAGACAGACAAATGAACATATCCAAAGGATCATTTATCACAGGGGACAGGCCGCCGTCCCGTGGGAGCGGGGTGTAGTGGGAACGCACCTCGTCTTTGGCCGACTCCGAGTCCAGCTTGAGGCTGAGGTACATGACGATGTGAGGTATGTGGCTGATGGACATCTGCAGCTCCACTAGATCCTCACCCCACAGAAGCTTCACCAGCTGGCTGACAGGCGGCGAGGGCCGGCCACTGGGGGGCTCTGGCTCCAGGCCCTCCCCCGGAGAGGCAGTCTCCAGCGTCAGCTTCACCTGGACGAGGGAAGTAGGCGCTCATCGTGAACCATCGTCGGCACCACATAACTATCATGGATGTTCTAACCCTAGACTGCATTCTCAGTCACCTCATAGCAGCAAAACCAAGAGTTTACAACCTATAATGAGCTCAAATTGCTGAACGATTCAATTTGTCGTCCAAATGTCTGGTTTACTGACATTGTAGGCTGTTCAGCACTTTGAACCGAGAGAAACCAGCTGGCAATCTGAATATCTGTAACTGTGGGACAGGGAAGGCTCACAAACCAATCTAACCATAAGACCAGGGCTACTGCATTTAGGCTGTTCCATGGACTTGGCACATAGGAGTCAAAATGCTCTTTGGACACCAGTGGGACCAAGTTATTGGTCAAGGGTCTGACTGAGTCAAGAGGCCAACCAATGACAGTTGTTCTCCAGGACAGTTGACGCCCACAGAGTTGGCCTATGGCATCATAAGCTCCAATGACAGCTGGTTATAAAAATGATGGACGGGTCAGTCAGCCTGTTATGCGGTTTCCTCATCATGTTTCTGATACCGATTGGCTGCACCCTATTATAAATAATAGTGAGTATGCTCTCCCTGGCATGAAACTAGGGCACCGTCCTAGAGGAATGTAGATTACATCAGAGAGTAACTGGGGTGCCCAGGGACCAAAGGGAGGTTATGTGAGGTTATATGGAGCCTGGACCAGACGGATGACAACACCACAGCCAATCCACATGCTCCTGCATGTACAGGCATGGACAAGACGCACACACACAAACTCAAACACAGTGACCCGAACCATTAGTGCAAACACACACATGGACAAATTCACTCGCACTTAAGCTGCAGTGAAGCCTGTCAACACATGTTAGACATCAGAGCTACTCGTCGACAACTGGTGAGATAAACCAGCGACAGAAACCAGCTGGGATTATGAAAAGTTGTAGAGCTCACGACCACCAATCAGCCGAAGAGGCAACACTCACATGATTCTCTCTCCACCAATAGCAGCTTCGCGGGGCACAGAGGGAGCACTGCAGGGCTGCATCAAACTCGGATGGTTTACGATTCTATATAATAAACATTCCGGTCTTCTAATATTTCCAAGATCATGTTAAGGAACAATCAAAGGGGAAAAACAGATGCAGGCCTTACAGACGGCCATGTTTTATACAGGAGTGCAGATGACAAATAGGCATGATCCAGCTGTTTAAGACGTACAGTCACAGGCATCGAGGAGCGAGTTAAACAGCAGACCCTTGTGCTCCATACATAACAGGCTTCCGCTCTCAAACCCTCAAAGCTTTGCTTCTGGAACCTTCCGTCCACCATTCTGATGACACTGACCCTATTCTTAGTAAGTCAATATTCATTTGCGCCCATTAGCAGATCATTTTAGGGCAGATATGTGTTAAATCACATGTGACGTGACCATTCTCACACCTGGTATTTTACTGCCATCTCCCCATTACTTTGTACTGGTGTCCAACGCTGGTCTGCATCTCTATTCACTCACCATAGGGTCTAAGCGCCAGAATTAAGAGGGTGTCAAACGGGATCCCCAAGCCAGAGAATCTGCGCCATTGGCCCACACCAGGTCTACAGCGGTACCCCAGTGTAAATCGGAACACCCTCTCTCACCACTGCAGTGACACACTGTTCATTAACACTCCTGCCAGGCCTTGTCGAATCCCGGGGAAGCGCAGAGAAAACCCCGAGTCACGCAAGGCTGGGGAGCGACTTAGGCGACTGAGTCTGGGCAGGCGGCCATCTTGGCTCCAGAAGCAAAGTCAGATCGCTATTAAATGGGGCTTAACACCAATGAAGATTTCGACTGCCACTCCAGCACACGGAGATCCTCGGTCACACGATTAAAGCCCAGGGCCCTGGAAATGACTGTCTGCTGTAGAGCAGACGGAAACCAGGACAGCAAACTGGACATGGGGGGGGAATGCCATGGGGCAGATTAACGGAGACTGGGCAATGGAGTCAGCAGTTCCATCTAGGAGCTTAGAGTGCCATTTCTTCTTAAAATTGCAGCCAAAGTTTGAGGGGAGACCCTGCAGACTGAGGTGCATAAAGTCCAGGACCACCATCCATCTCTGCAAAAAAATTAATAAAAAAGGATGAAGTTGATTCAGAGAAGCAATTCCTTCCTGGCATGAGACGGTAAGAATCTGTGTAATTATACTGTTAAAATACTGTAACTCACAGAGGGGCACTCCTGAGCTCCAGACGCCGCCGCCACGTTACCGAGGAGAGGCTGATACCAGTAAGACCGCGCTACTGGAAATGGGAAACCTGCCCATCGCTGCCAGAACAGCATGGTCTGTTTTTCTCTGAGCGTGTGTGTGTGTACGGTCCTCCCCAGGCCAGGAGGCCCTGGGGCCCCCAGGACAGCAGTCCCTCTCTCACACATTAGATGGCGCCGGTGGACCTGCTATGAATGAACGACAAACCCCTTCTAAAGCTAATTTCCTCTCTGATCACACCATCCAATCAGGCGCCCCGCTGGAGCCACAGCCCAGCAGCCCCCCCCCCCCGAGGTCATCACTCTGCGGTCCGGCATTGCCGCAATCTGCCCCCCCCCCAGCCAAATTCCGGGTGCAACTGTGTCATTTTCAAATTCCTCTGCTCGCACAGAAAAAGGCAAACCCAACTGCTGAAAGCAAAGAAATCGGAAATGCGTGACATTTCCCGGCCGATGGCTCTTGGCCGCGGCCCGGCAGGTTGTCTCCGTGTCTGGCTGATGGATGAAGCGCCCGAGTCAGATGGATGAGTAAAGCTTTTCTCCAGACGAGCGCCTCACTCATTCTTCCACTGGGCTCCCTCATTAAGCCAATGGACAGAGTAAACATCTTCAGCCCCTGCGGGTGCCCAAAGGGGTCCTGGGGAGCCGTCAGCCGCCTGGGTGACCCCTAGCATCCTGTGTAGCGTCACCCACAGTGCTCCTGATCTCTGTCCTTATTCTTAAGCAATTTAGAGGGCTGGAGCACTTTAACAGAGATGATGTGGGTGTCGTGTACTTTGAGGGTCTTGCAACATAAAATCTCAGCTACTATGAATAATCAATGAGAAGTTAACGCAAGGCAGGTTTTGCATTTCAAATTTATGCAGTTGTTTTGATACTGTCCCTCATTTGGTTTTGAACTTAGCACGACAGTTCTGCACCGAGTTACAGACTGACTTCAGAAAATCTTTCACAAAGGTTTGATACAAATCCCTCCCATTCACATGTTCGAGTGCATCTACAGCCACCGCCCCCCCCCCCAAAACCAGCTGCCATCTCCAGAGTGACATCCTCAACTGCACTGCCAATCCATACTCACTGCCACCATCGCCACAAAAGAATAGAGTAATGCTTTTATAGCAGCATACTGAACGTGTAGGTCATGTGATAAAGTCCCCTGTCCCACAAAATCAACAGTACACTAGGATGCAAGCCGTTCTCAAGCCCTCAGAAACAAACCAGTTTATAGTATGAATTTATTAGCCCTTAAGCCAATCAGAACATTCATCACTTATTCTGTTCCAGTTCTCAGAATCATCAGTTGCGTTATCATCTTGTAATTTATAAAGAAAAAACTGATACCAGCTCTTTCTAATCAGCCGATTTAAAATCTGTGTTCCCATTTGTTTCGATCCTGAAATAATATTAGCTAGAATAACGAGGCGTAATGCTCCAGTAGACTAAGAAACAAGATTGGATCGCTCCCCCCCTTGGAAATTGTGAACAATGATGCCCAGCGAAAGTTCCGATTGGGGCAGTGCGGCCAAAAGCATGCCTGCGGGCACGACTGACGGCCAGTGGGCCCTTTGGTGAAGCTGCCTTTGGTTACACGGCTTCTCCAGGGTCACACTTTGTGGCTCCAAAGACGACCAAAGTCGACCAAACAAAAAGAAACAATGTTCCAGCAGAAACATGTAAATGCATCTCAGATGCCAGCGCTGGGTGTGACAGGCACTGAAATCACGCCCAAATTAAACGCGGCTGTGTCCTCAGCGTTAGCCCATATTTCAAATGACCTTACGGGCAACATGAACGACATTCATGTGCACTCCACACTGCAACGCTGGCAGGGACGGATTACGGAGCGGGCCAGCGGGGCCGCTGCCCAGGGGCCCTTGGGGTGCAGGGGGCCCGTGGGGCCCCTAGGCCAAAACAATTTGCAACGCTTATCAACAATGTATTTTCGTTTGTCTATTTTAGAGGGCCTACATTCTTTGATCCTCTGCCTACAAGGGCCCCTGACCCTATAGGGCCTCTGATGGAAACATGGAGGGAGGGCGTTTGGCTGCCAAGGGCCCTTGAATTGTGGTGGTTGTTGGTGGTGGGGGGGTCGTCGGTGCTTTCAGGGGGCCCCCGGCCCTGCTATAGGAACTTACTTACTGTAAGTTGATACTTACTTACTTACTGAACTTACTTACTTACTTGTTGATACTTACTGTATCAACTTAAGCCACCTTCTTTTCACTTTTTCCGAGGTAAAAAGCGGCAAAAGATAGTTTTGTCAACATCATTCTGCATGGTACGCCGCACTAGTTTGGACCCACAAGTGGCATGATGACGTAGCAACTAGCCATCCCAGACAATGCTGGCGTTTTTGTTTTTTTGTTTTTTTTTTAGGGGGGGCTCGCGAACGTTTTGCCCAGGGGCCCACACAACCCATAATCCGTCCCTGAACGCTGGGGCTAATAAGCGAACCGCACACAGAACACTTCAGACTGCAATGCAGAAACTAATAAACTAACTGCATACAGTGAGGCTAATAAGTTAATCGCACACAGGGCGCTCCACACAGCAACACTGTGGTTAATAATCAAACCGCACACAGAGCGCTGAAGCTAATAAGCGAACCGCACACAGAGCGCGGAGGCTAATAAACTAACCGCACACAGAGCGCTCCACACTGCAATGCTGAGGCTAATAATCAAACCGCACACAGAGCGCTGAGGTTAATAAGCGAACCGCACACAGAGCGCTGAGGCTAATAAGCGAACCGCACACAGAGCGCTGAGGCTAATAAGCGAACCGCACACAGAGCGCTGAGGCTAATAAGCGAACCGCACACAGAGCGCTG